TAACATTTTTGATAAGTTCATGCAAATTTTTTTTCCGGAATGTGGTAGTTGTTATTTTAGAATGGGACTCATTAGAAGGGTTGCATAATTTTCCTTCACAAAGTGCAGGTGATCCAGTGCATTCAGAGAGTAGCCCTCAGGGTAGTGAGGTTTAAACTGGAGTGGATGTTGCTGGGGGGAGGAGGAGACAAGTTGAGGGTAATTGTAAGGGAGTTCTAATCATAAACCATCAAATCTAAACGGGTAAGGACGGAGGCGAGAACATGAGGAGAAGGGGGAACAGATAATGAAAAGGGGTCAGTAGTCGACTGGAGGTCTCTACAGTCTCTATAAAGGGGGAAAATGTGTAAGAAACACAGGAAATGCAGCTGGTCTAGGGATACATCTGTGCTTTTTCAGGAGCTATGTCTGCTGAAAGCCCAATGGGTGGAGTAAAAGGCGGGAGGCTAGGTCCCACACACAAGATTATTTGATGAACACCTATGCTGGGAGAAAAGTACAGCATTTACATACAGACTTACAAAGTCCTTGACCATAATTTTGACTTTATGCCACACTTCCTAAGAGGAGTGTCCGTAATTCTCGTACCTTATTACCCTCCCGGTATCTGTAGCGGATGGGAGTTGTGTGGGCAACGGTCACAGAACTTGTCAGTGACTAATGAAGACAACTAGAGCACTTGCCTACAAATTATTTTAGCCAAACTGAATGCTCCCCAAAGTACACAATGTGAATTCCTACCTAAATCACCCACGCGTCAGACAGTCTGTAGTTTAAGGGACTTCTCTCTTTTGGTTGTTCTGCTCTGTGCCTCTTACCCCGTCAAAGCCAATGTAAGTGGCTGTCTAGGAAGAATAAATTTTCAAAGGTGTGCCCTCAACAAGTACTTTTGGAATGAGAAAGTATGGAGTAATTGAAAGCCATTTATCTTCACTTACTCCTGGCCAAGCCAAAGGACTTTATGGATGTGGTAAATACTGGCACCTGCTCTGGTGCTCACAACTATTTTATGAGCAACATTATACCACGAGTAGAGGCTCTATCTACTTCCATTTATTGCCTTTCTTCACCATTGTCATGATAACCTAACATGCATGGAATGTCCACATGTTTTATCTCCATATAATGCTCTATACTTGCTGAAAAAACCAAAGTGACAGAATATGAAAAAGGAATATATGAATATTATGCCTTTAAAAGGGTCTTCTATAAAAGAACAGTAGTACAGGCACTGGAAATTATTTTCTCTCACTTTGTATTAAGAATTTGCTATTTTTCGATAAAGTGACTGACATAGAAATATTTTAGTCATGATGTACAGTATACATGATTTAAATTAACTTGCATTTTGCATTAGTGAATTGGTTTCTAAAAATGGTCTCAATAATATCTGCATCTCACTGTAGCTCCATCTTAATTGATAACAGCAACACAGTCTGAGGTCTTCACAATTGTTTTAATTCAATAATCCTTCCACCGTGAAAACGCTGCCTGGCCTGAGCTGGACTTGGACCTGTGAAGAGGATACACCACTTTCAGAGCCCCAGAGTGGACCAAACTACAGGCTTCAAGTGTCCTCTGGTGGCTGAAAAGCAGAATAATCAAGTGTAATTTGAAGTCTGGAGTAAATAGGCACATACCAAATTTCTTTCCCTAGTCTCATTTATTAATTCATTCATTTAAAAGAATGTACCAAGAATTAACTCCATTATTCACTTAGGATAAAAGACAAATGTATCAAAAAGATAAATAGGATTAGAAGATAAACTCCTCTGTGACATGAACTGTGTAAAATGTGGGTGAAAATGACTACATAATTTCAATACTCCCTGCTAGATTCTATAATAGTAGTATTTATTCTGTTCCAATCAAATAATTTTGGTAACCTTTATTTTTGTAGTAATTCTTATGGTAATTAATATTATCTAGAAATTCCCCCAAAATAAAAGCAACCAGTTTCCACGTAAGTGTAATTTATATGCCTGTATAAATCTAGAATGCACATAGTAAATACATATTTCCAGAGTTCTTCTTAGGAGTAAAATGAATCCATATTGCTTTTTATGATTATCATATTAATAGTATTTAGTTTTTAAATTAATTCTTGTCAGTCCAGCATTACCAGATCTATTATGCAGATGAGAAAACTGAGGCAGAAGAGGCAGCCTTACCTGATAATGCAGTGTCATAGATGAGAGTAGAACTGAAATTGTTTGACTGTACCTGTTAGTTTTCTTGGTGGATTCATCCAATGACTTTGTGTGGTTTCAAACGGTAAATATGAAGGGTTTTATGAAGTCACTAAGTAACCTGAGACTGCAATTTACAAGGGTTAAAAAACAAATGCGCACATTGGATCGCTTCCAACATCAGCTACTGAGCAGCTGTCACAATTCTCTCGAGTTCGATGGAGACCGTTATCAACTTATGAAAAGTCTCATATCCAATTACCAGTCCCCTGCATCAGCAGGCCCTAGCTTGGCACCGCTCAAACAAATGATACAGTTGTATGCCAAAGCAAAGTGATTACCTAAATAATTTAGTTGGGTCTTCTTTAACCCTATACACGAAAAGCTTGTACTAACCCTAATTAGTATTTTACACACACAATGCAGTCACGTAACAACCTCATAGTATTTCCAACACTGAACGTGAAAGGGTGCAAGATGTTTCAAGAATGTATTCCTAGTTAACATAAATCAATGCTGTGAGTCAACATGTTCACAAAGTTGGTTTATTGGAAAGATATCAATAGTTCTAGATGCAAACTACAAGACATTTTGAAGATGTCAAAAAAAAAAATATCCTAGAGATGACAGGGGACTTCTTGATGCTATCGTCTTAAAGCTACTCTTTAGTATTTTAGTTGCTATTATGCTCAACCTATTTTTTGTTCCATCTCAAACTATTTTCATAACTTTTTTCCTTTCTTGTATTTTGTTCTCCACTATTAAAATACTAATCTCTATAAGCAATTTTTGGTTTGCTTTTATATACAGTACTATGAGATAAAAACTACCTGTTGTTATTTAACACTTCCATTTTCCTTTTTTTGATAATGGGTAGCAGAATCATGAATATAACTACCATTTACCTTTGCTTTATGAGATGAAACAAAAAAACTGGAGGGCAGGTTTGTGTGTCTTAGGTTCAACATTTTACATAATTTAGGCCAGTTTGTTCCAAGACTACACTTAAAATGTAAATTCATCAGAAAGTAAAATTGCATTTCTGGAACATGAACCAAAAATTAAATGTGAAGCCTTTTTCTCAAACCAACGATATTTTCACTTTTGTGCTTCTATAATGTTCATTCATTTATTTAGTCCATTCACCTACATATAAATATCATACAGAGAAAAAAAATTGTGTTCCCTCCCCTCCAGGAAATGCATGCAGTTCTCGAACTATTGTGTTGAAGGGAAATTATGCGCAAGTGCTTTTGATAGAAAAACAGCAGTGGAAAATTTAAATCAAATAGAAATGTCAGAATGTTTTAATAACTCAGGCAGTATGCCAAGGTTGCAGGTTCAATCCTCAGTCACGGCACATACAAGAATCGACCAATGAATGCATAAGTGGGACAACAAACCCATGTCTCTCCCCCTCTCTAAAATCAATACATTAAAAAAAAATGTTAACTCAGGCAGAATTTTGAAAGCCAAATAGGATAAAACAACTTGATACTTTCAGGAACCCTTTTAACTAGAAAAAGTAAATGTCAGATCAAGAGGGTTTAGGTGCTATGGCTCTAATTTTACTCTGCAGACCAGGAGCCATTGAGTAGTTTCAAGAATGGAAGATGAATTTTAGTAAGGTCACTTAGGCAAGTGTGGAAGACATACTAGAGGATGCATGGAGCAACTAGAGCAAGGAAACTTTAGGTGCCAACTGCACTCACCGGGCTTGAACTAAGGCACTTCAGAGGGCAGGCAGTGGACAACCAACAACCTTGCCACACTCAAAGTGGTCCTCCATCACCAGCAGAAGCATTGACTGGGAGTTTGTCAGGAATACACGATCTGGTGCAACACCTCTTACCTCCCAGATCACTATTTTAACAAATTCCTCAGGTAGTATGTATGGCTGGGAGGTACTGCTCACATTGATAATACAGTAGGGATAGTTACTGGAGGGGAAAAAGTCACTATCTTAGGTGTGGTCAGAGTGTTCATGGAACATCCAAGGGAGCTGATCCACAAATGGGTATACGGGTACGGAGGCTGGGCTGAAGTCTGGTTTGGTAATGCAATTTACCATTTATTAACCTGTTAGTATTTGAAGTCATGGTCCGACTCGTTTCCCGGGATTTTCCCAGGAAAAGCATATCATTAGTCTGGCAGAGGGCCCAGGAGCAAGCCCTAAGAAACACCATTACTTCAAGTCCCACACAGCAAAGGTACTCCACAAGACACAGAAGGAACTCCAGTGGGAGGACTGGGAGGAAAGTTCCAGTGGTAGGATGGTCAACGTCCTCGGTTCCCAGCAGCGGTCACGTAAGTATAGACAGGAGTCCATTGGATTTGGCATTCTTGATGTCAGAGTAAAGCTACGGGTGGAGATTATTTCCCATTAGGTTCTTTCTTGACCTTAGTATGTGGGGATGTGAGTTAGACTTTCTGCTTTCAAAGTTCAGATGAGTAGATATGTGAGAGGAGCTTGGTATGGAGCCAGTTTGCAAATGTTCTCTCTTCCAATAGGATGGTAACTTCTTTGAGGAATAAGACAGGCACATAAAGATGAGTAAAGACCCAGTCCTAACTCTCAGAGTTTGTAACAAATAAGAAATAAAACAACTGTAGTACAAGATGGGGCATGTATTATAAAATACTATAGGGATTTAAGAGAAATACACTGTATCTAGACAATCAGAAGAAGCTGCTTCCTTCTCTTCAGCTGTTAGCACAGAAATATGCACATACTTAATACTCACTGACTCTAATAAATCTTGTGGGTTGTTGAAAAGTCCCATTTATTCCAAGATCCAAGGAAACTTCAAACTCATTCATGAGATATTTATTAAAATAACACATTTAGGGAAAAAAATCAATACAATGTATACATCATTACCGAAAACTGTATACCATCATACAAAAAAGGATTTTATTTTGGGAAAGCGATTCCTAATGTATGGCAAGTTTTACTTTCAGAAATAAGACCACAAAACAACACAATCTAATTCAATCTTAAAGGCTGGCATGCTGAGCAAGGAATGTTCTTATTCTTTGTAGAAGCTCCTTCTTTACACTGTCAGGTACCAGGGCTGAAATATAAAAATAAATACGTAAGAGTAAGAAGATTCCAAATAAAATATGGCAATGTGAGATTTGATATTTTATTCAGGATGACCAAGTCACAATTTATCATTTATTTCATAAACAATCCTCACAACTATAATTAAAAAATAGGTAAACATCTGAAAAATAAAGTATATTTGCAATTCATTATTTGAATGAATTATCTAATACTGAAATACATTGCTCACTGAGAGGAAAACATGGGAAAATTCTTTAAACTAGGAGTGAAAAAGGCCTTACATAGATTGATAAATTTAATTGAAATGCAACATCAAATTAATAAACTTGGTCAAAATCACTGTAAACAAGGGCAAAAGACAAAAACTGGGAAAACATTTTGTAGAAAACAGGCTAATCTCTCTACAATTTCTTCAATTTGATAAGAAATCAGCAGGCTAATAGAAAAATGAGCACAGGAGAGAAAGAACACACAGTTCTTGAACATGAGGGAGTAAACCTTACAATAGAAATGGAAATTAAAACCACATTCAGATAACATGTTTTACCAATCTGACTGGCTAAAATCCAAAGGTCAATAATATACTGTTGTCAAGACTGAAGGAAAAAATGGCACTCTGATATTGGCTAGTGGGAGTGTAAATTGGTACATTTTGGGGAAAGTAATTTAGCAATATTCTACAGAAATAAATGCACATACTCTGACTCAGCAAACATGCAAAGGCCACAACAGTGGTTGTATTTCTTGTATTTTTATTTTCTGGATTTGAGCCACGTGACTATATTACCTATGCAGAATATTAAATTAAAAATGAAAGAAAAAAAAGCCCTGCTCTTTGAGGTTTTAACAAATATTAAACGTCAGCAAACAAACCTACATTATTGTTCCTTTTCTGGCTACTAATATGTAAGGGCTCTAGAAGAATTTACTAACACTTGTTTTCTGCTCGTATGACAGGAAATGGAAAGTTGCAGATATAGTTCAATATTTCCATAAAGAACTCTAGAAATCAGTACACAATCAAATGAGGCAGATACTCCACTGGATAAACTACTTCACGTAAGCCTGCCTAGAAATAAAGACTACACAATCAAGTCCACTGGAAATGTGATCAGTATGGACATTAAATACACTTTTGATAAAAGGTATGGTGATGGAGAACAAATCTGTTGCCTGGGACTTGGGGGTGGGGTGTGAATGAATACAAAGGTGTAATGTGAAGAAGTTCTATGGAAGTGGTGGCTATATGAATTTATACATGTGTGTAAAAATCTCAGAACTGCACACTGAAAAAAAGGGTAAACTTTGCTGTATATTTAAAAAAATAAAATGTGTCTACTCTTAACAGTAAAGAAGACTAAGAACATAAAAGAACAGTTTCCACTTCTTTTTCCTGTATTTGCTCATTCTCTAGTAGGGGAGCAAAAGGGACTGGTATGTCCAGGATACCAGAGTTGAAGGAGAAGCGAAGAACCACCTCTACCCTGTATAACCAGTTCCTAAGTAGTGTTAACAGATGAAGCATAAACTACAGAAGAAAAATAGAAGACAACGTTAGGGCAAATTATTTTAAAATATAAATTAATGGGGGGGAACAATAAATACTGCTTTGTTTCTTTCCCTGAAGTATGTATAAAGAAAGGTCAGGTTTTTGTAACTGTAAATAGGCCAAAATAGATGGTGGAAATGACCAGGGGATTCCCCAGCTCCTTTCCAGCAGGTAAGCAGTTGGGGAATTAGTAGTCTCGTAATTATTTTCACACTTATTTACTTCTTACACTAAAATTCTTTTTACTATTTCTGTGTGATAAAACAAGAGGTCATCTAGTTTACCTGCTTCCACTTAAACTTTTTCAAAATAAATGAAAAAAAAAATGTAGCTCCATCTGAGATAACAGAATGTGGTTCCTGAAAGCAAGCATTATGTAGGATTGATGCTAATACACTTCCTTTCTTTCCTGTGCTCTCTGCAAACAAGGCACTAAGTGAGAAATGAAGATGGTTGTAGTGCGAATCTTAAATATGGATTTCCTGGAACATGAAGTTATGGTGCTACCAAATTCTTACTTAGACATTCAAGACAGAGCTTTGTTTACTTTTAGTAAGCAAAGAGATAGAGCAATGACTCAGGGACAAGAGTAAAATTTTAAATTATTAAACATTTAAGTGAAGTCAGGCCATATTTAACAAAATTCATAAATCTTAGCTTCAGGTAACATTTGCTGTACAAGATCCTACACTTTAAAAATTATCTGTCTTAACAACCACATCAACTTATTTGTACACTGTTTCAGAGTGCAAAACCATTTTACAACTCTTATCTCATCTGTTACTCAAAACAGTGTTAGAGAGGTAGGTAGGCACTTGTCATTTTCCCCAATGAGGAAACACCAAGCACCCAAATAATGCTGGAAAGGTGGTGGTTTCTTCTTGCAGAAAGAAAGAGAAGCTGAACTGGCAAGAGCAAAAAAAATCCTGTCTTGAGCACATGTTTCCTTTCAATTTGCATTCCTTACCTCTGCCTTTTGGTGTGATTTCAGCCACCAAGTCATCAACAGTAACGTGTTCTAGTCCTTTTTCTTTAATTACCTCTTATGCAAAAGTAAAAAACAAATCATATCATTTAAAATCATTATCTGTAAGAAAGATTTTCATAGAGGAAGGATTAAGATCATGTTTTTAGAGTGCAGATTGGTCTTAAAAAAAAAGAGGACACTTCTTTATTAATGAATATTTAGTTCAACTTTAAATACATTAAGCATTCACCAGATAAAATCATGAAAGCCTGTTCATCTCCCATCAAATAACCTGTAACTTAACAAATATATCGCAGAATGAATTTGAACTGTAAGGTCAAATCTAACATTTGTAAAAAGCTGGAAACTTCTAACTGCATAGATCTTATTTCACTATAACCATACTAGCTTTTAAACGGAGGGGAAAGAAGCTCTTATTTGTGTCCAACTTATAACTTTGTAGCTCAGAATTAATATATGGAACTCCTTTGTCCCTTTCTTTTCCTTAGACTGAACCAAAAGAGATAGAGGATAGAAAGTAGTTAATATTTACTGAACCCCTATTATGTGCTGGATGCTTTATATCATTTAATATTTACAATAATCTAATGGGCTGGGAATTTTCCCCACTTCACAGGTGGGGCAGCTGAGGCATGAAGATTAAATAACTCATCGAAACATGAGATGGAATACAGCTCTAGTCTCTCACCAGTGAAGATCTGTACGACCTCAACGTCTATGTTTTTACTAATCTGTCTTGTTGCCTTCTTAGGGTTAATGTTATAAATAGTTGCTATTATTACTTGTAAAAACCATCACAATCCAATTGGAAATCATTAAAAACAACCAAAATGCTGTTACACTAAAAGCTGAGCCAGTACGGAGGCTTGTCTTAGTAACATATGTAATCCACAATCAACATTAAGCAATTTAACAAGCTCTCATTCTACATTAAAAAAATTATTCTCTAAGAGTTTTTAAAATGATTTTTTTCAAAATAAAACATATTAGGAATAAGCAGTGTTTCACTTTGAAATACATGGGATTCCACATTTTGAAGCCAGAGAAAATCTTGCTTTACTTAAGAGAAACAAGAAAATTTCTAAAAAGTTAGGAATTAGGTCTAAATATTACCACAAAGAGGAGAAAATCATTACCACAAGAGTTGATTTTCCATTTGTTTAATATTATGTCTGAATACTTAATATACCTGTAAAATACTGACTAATTTTTCTAGTGAACCCCAAACCAACACAGTTGAGAGCAACGGAATTAGCGTATCTTCTAAAGGAAACTGATTACCTTTACAGTGCGCCTTCAACTGATCCTTCCAGCCACATTCAATTAATTTAGCTCTCAGCAATTCTTTGAGGCTGTTGGAAAAGAAGTGTTTTCAAATGAAACTACAACCATGTACAGTATCTTAGATAGCAACGTTTTAATCAAAGGTTCAACTCTTCGATGATAAACTCCTTGCCTTCTAGTCACGAAACTTTAACCACAGACCAATCTTGGTTCTATCGCAAAATAGTTTAAATAGTTCTATGATCCTATGAGTCTCATTTAAATTCTGGGCCTCATTTTCATTATCAGTTAAAAATATTAAGTGGATGGGGGCAAAATACTTCTCAAGAAACTCTGATATGGCCTTCTTACACTACAGCTACTTCCCCACCAACAGGAGTATTGTGGGTCTGCACAACCTCAGGAGGGTTTTAGCTGAGCTTGGAGCAGCCGCACCTCTGAAATCTTCCAATTCCAAAATTCTTTTGACCACAAATTCTTATCCTTCAGCTCTCTTACTTCCCCATTATTTTTTCTCTCGAACCTCCAAAACTTTCCCTCCCTTTTTCCATTAACCTTCTAGATTATACATCAACCATAGTTGTATATCATTGAATCTAACACTTTTCCTCCCATTTTAACAATTCAGTAATTGGCATACCTATCATAATTTAACTGACAGGGTTTTCTTGTTTCTTACTGGTTTAAAAAAGTGTATATTGCAACTTGGATGTAATAAAATATTTTATCAGTACTTCTTATTCTTCTGCCATACCCCACTCTTATAAATCCTCAATCTTCAACCTAAATCATCTAATTTCTAAGCTTAACCATGTCACCACATTCCAAACCAAATCTCCTCTCTTTCAATATTCCTACACTCCACTGTGTGACATTTTCATCTCAGTATCTGATCAGGTATTTCAATCACAACAGGGCCCAAACCCAAGGCATGCCTCTCTCCCACTTAACCTGTTCTCCCTTCTTCCAGTTCCTCAAGCTAGAAACCTTGGCAGCGTCCTCCACTGCAACTTTGTTTAACACTACACATCTAATCCACGAGCAAAGACTACTGGTTCCAGCTTTAAAATATGTACCTGCAATCCAGGTGTTTTTCCTCATCTCTTGCCATTATTGCCCTTGCACAAGCTACCACCTTGTCTTGACTGGATTGTTACCAAAGCCTCCTAACCTGTCCCTGATTTTCCTTCCCCCTTGTACTCTTCCATTCTCCCCCCACTGCTCAAAACTCTCCAGTGGCTTACCAATCTACTCAGAATAAACTTCCAGTCTTACTACAGCCTAAATGACTCCCCACGATCTGCCCTCTTCCCAGCTATGCCCTCACTTTAGTTCTTTTCCTCTCCCAATTTGTTCAGTCTCATTAGTTTCCATGTGCTCTCAAAATGCCCAAATCTCCTTTCTCAGGACTATGGCTCTTGGAGACTCCCATCTCCCTTATATCCTTCTAATTTCTTTATCAATGAAGCCTTGTTTTTTTTTTCCCCCATCCAAAATAACATACCCCATTATTCTCTGCTTTGTTTTCCCTTTAGAATTCATCACTCCCTGACATATGACATTAATTTTCTGTTTCCTCCCATTAGAAAGTGTAAGCTCCAGGAAAGGACAAACTTCATTTTGCTCACTACTATAACTTCAGTACCTAACAGGACCTGGCATATGGTAGAAACTCAGTAACTAAGCTGCGTAAATGAAAACAGAAACAAATTTAAAATATACGTAATCTACACTCATTACTTGCAATACCATCCTCTCTGTTTCCCAAGATACCTTTCTAGTTTCCACCTTTTTCCTCATTTCTGATTTTACTTAAAAAACAAAAAGTGAGTACTCCTTTCCATTTTACTGTTTTTCATTTTTAACCCAATATAGTCTTCTAAACTCTCTAACGCTTCCAGTCTGTCCTCCACAATGCCACAACAGTTCCTGAAGTGCAGGTGTGATCTAGTCATTCCCCCTTTAATCATCTTTTAATGACTCCCACCACCCAAAGATAAAATCAACAACACTTGTTTTTGCAAACCCACCATCCATTTTCCTGCCTCCCTTTCTTGATGAACCTCCACCACTCCCAGTATAAGAAATCTGGGGAGGGTTCTAGTGATGGAAATGTGGCCTAGGCAGGGGTGATCATCACTGGCCTACTACTACTAGGAAAGATGGAAACCAAACTAGGTCTTTACTGAAACTTCTAGGGGAAGGTGGTGTGAGGCAAAGGGATATACATTTTGAACCACACATCTCTGTGGATAGCACCTGTCTGAGAAAAAAAACAACAGAGGAAAGAAGAGCTGACGGAGGAAAAGAAAAACATATTCTTGACAATAACTTTTGAGTGCCTGGACCCAGTGGTGCCTGAAGCAGTTTCAAGCTCTCAACTTTTTGGTTAGATGAGCTTGTGTATTTCCTTTGGCTAAGCCTGTTTCTGAGCTGTTTCTATCATTTCCAATTAAAAAAATTCTGACTGTCCCCAAATCTACTCCTACTGTGCACTGGCCCAGCCACACAGCTTCACCCTTTAGCTTTAATTGTGCACTTCCCCAGCACGCCATCAAGTTGCAACGAAACTCTGAGAATCTGCACATTCCATTCCACCTGCCTAGACTGTCTTCTCTATGTTACTGGCTCGGGGAAATGCTAATCCTTCTCCTGGAGTCAAGCAGCTTTTTAGTATTCTGTGAGACCTTAACTGATCAGCTTGTCCCCCAGGTAGAGTGGGAAAATTCTTCCTGTTCCTTGTATTTATTTCTCTCATACAATTTATCACCCTGCTTCTGGAAGCCCTTCTTGATTTCTCAGCCTCTGCTTTGCACGTTCATGCTTTTTTTGGTTCATTTTTCAAATATTTACATGGCCAATTTTGAGCTTAGTGTGACACTGGGCATACAATGGTATTTCTGCTGTCAAGTAACTTAGATTAATTATACTGAAAAACACAAACTAGCAAAGTAGGTGCTCACAACACAATGTGATTAAATGCTATATTAGAACAAGGTATTTGGGAGTTACCAGATACTTGGAAGACGTATTTAAATTAACATGTGAAAGATAAGCTAGAAGTAGAGAAAGACCAGGGAAAAAAAGATGAACGTTTCTGAGTGGGAATACTGTATGCTACTCTGAGGTTAAGAGAGCTTGGCAACTACAACTAGTTCTATTACGCTGTCTCCTTGTTAAAAATTGGGTGACATTATGTCTCCAACTGTAGTTATTTGAGAATCTTTTTCTTATTATACAGAATCATTTCTCGTTCATCTTTCTATATCGCCCTCTTCCCTCTAAGTCTTGCAATACTGAACAGACCTAACTATTATCGATGTCAGGAACTGAAGCTTTTGACAACCTCTATTTCTTTGTAATTCTTTCCATCAATATCAGTTTTGTTCCTTCATATTTAGATTCTTACCTATAACATGATTATAATTGAAAGCTGTTAAGTGTAATTTATTAACATAGTCTATTACTTACCGTTCTCTTTCTCCAGTTTCTATCAACTTTTGGTTAATCGCTGCTCTCATCTGCGCATCTTTGTTCATCTTGCTAACCTGAATATCAATATGTATTTTCAGATATAAAGCACTTATATAGCATTTCTTCTAAATCCTGTAGGCAAGCATCTCAACATGTTCAGCAGTCTATCCACTAAAGGGGTATGAATTTCAACAATGTGTTAACAATGTCATTACTCTTAATATTTACTGCATCCCAAGAAGTCATACTGATGAACTCAATTTTCATCCCTCATTTGCCCTTTGTTAAAACGAGTCTTTTAAATAGTAATTATTGTAACAGTTATTGAACACTATGTGCCTGGTACTGGGCTAACACATTGTTTTTATTTCATTTAATTCCCAGAATGTATTATTTTATATAAGTATTATTAACCTAATTTGTATTTTACTGATGAGGAAACTGAGGCACTGAGATAGAAAGTGAAGGAAGGTGTTTTGACCCCAGACCCCCCCACCAAACTTGAACACCATATCATAACTGACTGCTAATCATTTCTGTACCTTAACTGCGTTCAAAATTTTGGGAAGGCCATAATTTAAACTAAATGTAAATAAAAGATTAAGCACTGATGGTGAAAAATGAGATTTCCAGGTAAGGTTCTAAGTAGTTTACTTTTCACTAGGATGTATTCAGAATCACAACTACCACACCAGCTGTTAGATATACTTGCGTTTGCTCTTTATCAAAGCTTGCTGGTGGGATAATGGGAAAACAGATCCCAAACTAATTCCTAACGTGGCAAATTCTCAATTTTCAGTAAGGAAAACCAAAACCAAAATTGTGTAGAAAGAAGAGGAAGATTAGGTTGTAAAACTTGGAACAAGCTAACATTACTTTTGTCGTCTCCCTTCTGGCCTGTATGAAAACTCAAAGACTGGCAGAGAGTTTTCAGAGTTGATTTTTTCTCTCCCTTTGGAGTGGAACAGGAAAAAGGACGGGCTGAGAAAGGACTAGAAAATGTTTGCTTTTGTATTTGGAGGCTAACATTTTTAAAATAATTCTAAGGTACAGAAAGTATCATTCCCAGAATCCTGAACTTAAGTGAACCTTGGCCCTGAAAATACCGGTAGTGACCTTGGACAAGTGGATTCTTGAAGACCTCAGTTTTCTCACTGGTAAAACAAGGGCGCTAGGGGATCCCTCCCAGTTCAGACATTCTTTAGGAAAACAGAACAGGGCGGAGACAGCAGGAGAGGCGGGAGGGGAGGAGCCAGAAAACAAAGCGAGGACTGGCTACAGGCCAACTCCGGTAGCACGCCCTGTCGGAGAGCCCTACAGGCCCGCGAGCGCGGGTCGGGGAGGCTAACGAAAGACAGCACATCGAAAGGAGCCTGGGCTGGGCCCGGGTCCCGGCCCTGAGGACCACGGGCATAGCTCACCACCATCACCGCGGGCGAGGGCCGTCCCTTCCCAGCGACGAAATGACCCTTGCGCTGACGACCGTTACCTACCACACTCTTCGGCTGCCCAGACTTAGACCCTCAGTAGCTCGGGCGCCTAAGCACACAGAAAGCTAGAACACGCATTTCCGGGGCGTGGTCTCGCCTCCCTGCCTATAATGTGAGAATTTAACCAGCGCGGGCCGCCTCCTGGTCGCTCAGCCCTCTGGGTAAGAGAGTCCAAATCCTACTGCCGCACGGGCGGCCCGTCCCCTGAAAACTACCTGGCCCAACATGCAACAGTCAACTTTCTCGTGGGGACTACATTTCCCAGCAGGCATCCTGCACCGCTGTGTTTTCTGGGATGGGACCCACGCAGCCTCCTGGCCTCATTGCTGCTAGGGAAGCGCGGACCTTTCAACAAGAGCTTTATTAATTCCCAGACCAGGATCCTGGAAAGCGATGGAGGTGGCAGCTAACTGCTCCCTGCGGGTGAAGAGACCTCTGTTGGATCCCCGATTCGAGGGCTACAAACTCTCTCTCGAGCCGCTGCCCTGTTACCAGCTGGAGCTTGATGCAGGTGGGAAGCGGTGCCGCCTCCTTGCACTTTTCCTTACCCCTTTCGGCTGCAAAGGGCCAGACCCTTTCCGCGTTTTCTTTCTTTCTGATTCGGGCAGGCAGGGCGACCGGGGCCTTCCTTACGCACTCGTCGGACTAGGGTGGACACAGGGTGGCGGTTTCTGGAGAAGGATGCCCATCGCGGAACTCCGTGGGAGCCGCCTTCTCGCCGCTTTTTTGTAGTGCGACCACGGGCCCTCACTCTCGGTTAGGCAGCCCGGATTCCGAGGTCAGACACATGGGTGCTTCTTGGGCTGAGGTCGCCTGTCCATCCTGGCTTGGTCCGTGCTGCCGAGAAAGCCGAGAACTTGCTTCCCACCCGGGAGCCTTCTCTGTGAACTTGTGCTTTGAGAAGCCACACCTTGGAGGACCCCCAGCTCCTGTTTCCTCTGGCTGAGACCCATTTCTTAAAAAGAATCTCCATTGCAGTTCAGAGCATTTTTCAGTTACTCAAAGGACTGTCCGTATTCTAGACAATTTTGAGGACAAGTTGATTTTCGTACTCATACTTGACTTGTTTTGTTTTTCTGTAGTTGACCAGAATATTCATCCTTTTTTTTTTTAAGGAGGTAAAATGGTATTTTCATTGGTGATTAAGAGCCCAGAGTGTTGCATTTTTATTTAATAACACCCCCTGCTGCTTTTGATGATTTTGTCAGGGGATCACACTTTGAAAAATACTAGTTAATTAATAGTTTCATAGTATCAAATAAGTAGTAAGTGCTTAATTCATTTATAAAATCTGTTGGGAGCGTGTTGTGTGTTACATGCAAATATCAAGATGGGTAAGAGAGTCAGTAACATACGATAAAGTGCAATTGGCTAGTTGGGAAGAAAAATAAACAGGTAATTATAAAACAGTTAATAAGGCCAAACCAGTCTGGGAGATCTGGGAAAGCTTCCTGGAGCAATGGGTATCTAAGTTGAGTTTTGAAGGGGAGATAATGAAGGGGAGATAAAGGTTGACCTGGGTAAGAAAAAAATGAGCTTGGTTTTTCTTTTCATTCTATTTCTTTTCCATTCCCTCTCCCACTCCATATCAGTAAATGGTACCACCATGTTTAGTTAGTTCATGCATTTAAGAAATCACCCCAAAACTCACTGGCTCAAAAAATAAGCTGTTATTGTTGCTCACAGGTCAGGGGGCCTGGTAGGTGGTTCTAGGCTTGGCTTGGGCTCATTTGTACATTTTTGTCCTGTTATGGGTCTGCTAGGTATCTCTCTGCTCATCTTGGTTGGACTTTCTCATTGGTTTAGGAGTTCTCTGCTATAACTGGTTTAAGATTATTTCAGTTGGTCCCTCCCTAGTTAGCTCTCCTCCGCATGGTCTCTCATTCTATAGCTGCCTACTCCAGACTGATTCCAAGAGACATGTAGCAGTACACAAGCACTTTTTTCAAGCTACTGCTTGGAATAAGTCTGTGGTTGTCCCATTGACGTAAGCAAGTCACACAGTCACACAGTGAGTGATAACAGCAACCTCATACCAAGTGCTGTAAATCCAGGGAGTCATAAAATTTGCAACTATTAGTCCAAATCCATATAGTTACTTATGCTGAAGTCATGAAGCAATTTCTTTTTTATTAAGACCCCGTATTCAATCTGTCAGCAAATCCAGTCGGCTCAAGATTTTGGCTTTTTCATGCCTCTGACCTTGTCCAAATCACAGTTATCTCTTACCTGAACTATAGCAGTTTCCTGACTCTCCTTCCTGACTCCACTTTTGGGCTCTTTCATACCATTCTCCATAAGTCAGTCCAATCATAGTTTTTAATTTTGATTTACTTGGCATCTGTTTCCTCCACCAGACTGTGAGCTCCTTGAAGATAGTGATGTTTCTCCTTTGCTCATGACTGTCATTGCTCTTAACATAGTAGGTGCTCAATAAATTGTGTAAATGAAGAAGAGAAGGAGGGAAAAAATCTCCTGGGAAAGTGACACAGGACTTAGAAAGGTAGGTGAGGACGCTGTTTGTCTTTTGGACTTTATCCTCTGTGTTTCCCAGAATTCTTCATGGGCCCTTACAAAAAAAATAAAGCTCATCTGTCATGGATTTGGCCAACTTTAAAAAAATTTTCTTTTCAATCCTTACCTGAGAACATGCTTACTTATTTTAGAGAAAAGGTAAGGAGAAAGAGAGAGGGAAAGAAACATCCGTACCAGAGAGAAACATCCATCAGCTGCCCGCCTGCACACACCCAGACCAGAGACTGGACCCACAACCCAGGCATGTGCCCCGACCTGAAATCAAACCTGCAGCCCCTCGGTCCATAGGATGACGCTCCAACTAAGCAACGGAGCCACCCTGGCCAGGGCAGATTTGCCATCTTTTTAGTTTGTCAAGTGCAGATGTTTCTTAAAAACTCATGTACTCACCCATTCTTTCAGAAATAATTATAACACCAAAAAAAGCAGGAAGCAAAATCTTACAATAAATAACTCTCTAAATCAAATATATTAACTTTATTGAAAACTCACTAAGTTGCCCTTTTTCTCCCCTCATTTCACCACTGTTGGTCTTTAGAGTCTGTGTTTGGGATGCACAACTGGCTGTGATGAGATTATGTCATTTAGCGTTTTAAGTAGAGAAGGGAAGTCGATTTGGGGTTTGAATGGTTTACTGTTGGGCTCTGTGGAGGCTGAATTTGGAAAATGAGAGGAATGGAGACAGGGAGATCTGCTTAACGCTTTCTCAATACAGTAGTTCACTCGAGGGCTTGCATTAAGACTTACTTGGGGAGGATGATAAAGAAAAGGTTGATTCCTTTTAAAACTCTCATTTCTAGAGATACTGGGGTATGATTGAGGAGCTCCTCCTGACAACTAGACTTTTATACCACTCCAAAGAGTGTACATTTAATTCAGTAAACTGTTAGTAGGTGCCTCTGGTGTGTGAAACTCTGCATTTAGGATGTGAGGATGGAAATGTGGTCTCTGGTCTCAAAGAGCTTGGAGGTTTATCCTCTTGTTTTTTAGTGAGTGAGTGAGTGATTTTAGAGAGAAACATCGACTTGTTGTTTTACTTATTTATGCATTCATTGGTGGGTTCTTGTGTGTTTCTTTATACAACTTGGTGTACCAGGATGACACTCTAACCCAGGATTGTCAAACTCATTTTCATGGGGGGCCACATCAGCCTTGAGGTTGCCTTCAAAGGGCCAAAATAATTTTAGGACTGTATAAATGCAACTACTCCTTAACTGTACGGAGTTGAAATTACATTTGGCTCTTTGAAGGCAACTGCAAGGCTGATGTGGACCCCCGTGAAAATGAGTTTGACACCCTGCTCTAACCAGCTGAGCTACCTGTCCAGGGCTAGTCCCTTGTCTTAAATGATGTTATTGTAAAATTCCCTATGCTATATAAACAGTACGTGTTACTTTTTCCTTTACTTAAAAGAACTAAACAAAAAAAACTTTTTTAACAAATTGTAATTGCCCTTTGACTCAGCAATTCCATTTCTGGGCATGTTTTTACAGATGTTTCTTCCCTATAGTTTTTATTTAGAAAATATCTTTGTACATATTTATTTTCCCCCTATATTTCATTTGGCTAATTCATACTCCATTTTTCTTCTTGATTTATGTGTTACTTTCTTAGGAGGTTACTTCCTTGACTACCTAGTTAGAGTCTGCACTATAGACTGTATAATTACATAGTACCTGGCACCTCATAGACTTGATGGCACTTGGTAGCTTTCCGAGTCTTTTCTATGCCAAAATGGTAAGTTCTGTGTTGATGAGTCCTGTGTCCGTCTTTTTGTTCATCTCATCTTTTTCAGTACTTTATCTCAAGAGCTGGAGCATGCCTGATGAACAATAGATTATTTTTATATTAGACCATTAAACAGCTTTATTGAGCTATGACTGACAAACGCCACATATTTAAGTGTGTAGTCTGGCAAATTTTGACATATGTATGCACTCATGAAGTCATCACCACGATCAAGATATTAAACTTAGCTATCTTTTCCCAAAATTCCATGTGCCCTTCTGTAACCAGTCCTCTGTTCCTTCCCGTACCCCCTTCCTAAGCAACTGCTGATGTGTTTTCTGTTCCTATGTTAGTGTTTTGCATTTGCTAGATTTTTATATTCGTGGAATTACATAGTGTGTATTCTTTTTTGTCTGTTGTCTTTTACTCAGCATAGATACTTTGAGTTCATTCGTGCTGTGCTGAGAGAGGGGTATTGAAGTCTCGGACTATAATTGTAGATTTTTCTCATTTTCCTGCACATCTGTCAGTTTTTGCTTCTTGTATTTTGAAGCTCTGTTACGTTGTATAAACATTGATTATTGTGTCCTCTTGATAAATTGACCCCTTTATCATTATGAAGTAGCCTTCTTGACCCATGGTGATAGTCTTTGCTCTGAAATCTGTCTGATCTTCACATAGCAGCCTCAGCTAGGTTTTGATTAATGTTGGCACTGTGTGTGTGTGTATGTGTGTGTGTGTACACATATATATTTTTTCCATCCTTTTATTCTCTTTGTATCTTAGTATTTAACATGCATTTCTTTATTGGCAGAAATA